CACCATTCGACTTGACGGCATCTCCACGACAAAACCCATCCATTTTCAGTGGCCGTCGTCCAGCCTTCGTCGCTCGCCGTCCACCTAAAGTTCACGCTTGCCGTCGGACTTCCTTCTTGATTCCGGTAATTTCTGGCGCTGATGGAACTCCCTAACATCACCATCAGATTCGCCGGAACCTATATATCAAAAGCTCCATGATTCCAAACTTCGATTGGCCGTCGATCGTTGCTGCCGCCACCACTCACCAGTCTCTTCGCGCGATAGGGGTGTTTTAGACAGATTTCAAACCTTAAGAGAGTATTAATGGGGTGTTTTTGATGAATTTTAAACATTTAGGGACTAAAAAATTTTTACAGGATACGGTCCAACCGCCCGATCCAACCGGAAACCGGACCCTTGAACGGGTCATAGTCTGGTCCGGTTTTCAGAACATTGGTCTGTACCATATCTTCGTGAATAAACATCTGATGCAAAAATTATTGAGCTGTTGCATTCAGAAAAGGACAGACGATGATAAGTCCATAGCGCTTACCTTGGGCAAGAAATTGGAGTCAGTGAGGATGCAATAGGCTGGAAGAATAGCATAGCAAAGCTCAAAAATGGAACGTAAACCCCACACAAGCAACCACAAATACGCCAAGGACTGCCTGAATTGGAGCTTGCCTTTGAGAGTACCAATTATCGGATTGTGTTTGCTGAAAAAGATCTCAAGCAGTCCTGTGGCCCATCTCTTTTGTTGGACCATCATTGCAGGCCCACCAGGTGCAGCACACCCTAGAAAGGCTGGAGGGTCTGGTGAGCAATACCCTGTTTTCCACCCTTTTTCATGGATGGTCAAACCTGTTAAGACATCTTCTACTGTAGATCCATATATCCACCCAAACTGATACACAATAACATCCATATATAATGTTAGATGTCACCCTTAGTAGTTGTTTGGACTTAAAAATTCAATTATGATAAACTAATGTGTTTATTTGCCCTAATGGATTGATGAAAATAAATACTCAATAAGAAGCTGTTCAAAATGTTTTCTCCTTACCTTTTTACCCCAGCCAGTACCGTACTCATAGCTACAACTTGCAACTTGGTGAGCTGCCTCGAGAGATTTAGACAGGTTGCTGGTAAAATAATCTGTATTCCCTTTCAAAGCATGAGCGGCTGATGTTATGAATTCCTTTGAATTTCCATATTCTTTTAGTAATTCATAATCATATGATTTTCCTGCAAATGAAGTCAGACATTTAAGACAATATATATTGTAGAAAAAATTTACCATACATTTTTTGGGGTGTGCGAAAGTTCAATATAGGTGAAAATTAGCCTAGCAAATTAAAGAGATGTATAGAGTAACCTGAATTTACATCTTTACCTTGATTTTCTACTTCATCCGGCCATAGACCACAGATAACTTTTCGTCTATGAAAGCATACTGTACCTCCATAGAAAGGTCCTTGAATTCCCACTATTCCTTTCCCGACATACTATATAACATAAGCAAAACAGTACATAAATAATTTGTAATAGAGTTGGAATCTCGATCTACACGCTCAATTATTCTTAGGTAAGAGTTAAAAGAACAGAAAATTTTTCATTTGTATTTAAATAAAGAAAAATTACTCACTTCATGCAAAAGCAGCAAGTCCTCTGGTCTATCATAGAAAAATTGTGGAGACTGAACAAATCCACAGTCTCTTTCATTCTTGGAACCGAGCATGAGACACATTGCATGTCGAATAATCTCTGTGTTGTTGACAAACATGTCGCAGTCCAAATTAAGCATGAACGGAACATTTGTCATCAACCCGGACACTCTAGTCTGTTTGAGATAAAAAAAATTAGAAAATAGAATCATAAGATGCTAATTCAAAAATTGTGTGTATCAAGTTTGTGATTAATCTAGCCTAGAGTCAAAAAAACAACTTACAAGTACATTCATAGCTCCTGCTTTGTAATGATGGGGATGCTTTGGCCTCTTCTCTCTGGATATGTAAATTAAATGAGGCACCCCATCTGAGATACCCTCCTCGTTCTCCCATAGGACCTATAAAAGGATTAGTCTAGTTAATTGAATCTTTTGGTACCAGAGAGGCTTAATCATCCATTCATATTTTAGTACTGGTATCAAGTCAATCCGATTAACCAAGTGCCTATGGAAGACGCAAAAATATGTTAAGTGGCATAGAATTGACTATGCTACTTGAACAGTGGCTACCTTGACTATTGCTGAATGGTCTCGCACTTCAGTATTGGAGAAAATAGCCAACTCGCCAGTCAGACCAATGGGAAAAGGCTGGTGCGCTGCATTTTCTATACTTCTGCAAAGTTGCTCGTACTCTTCCTATAAAATTAGACATATAAAAAACTAAATAAATAAGATAATGCTATCAGACAATAACGACCAGTAGGCGTGCAACAGTTCGTTGTTTGTGTCTGTATTCATTTAGGATTATCGACATGAAAAAAAAATTATTGAGACTGAATATTATTGCACGAATATCTCGATAAAGTGAATTTCTTTTTAATAAAATATCTTTCCATTAGTATATGCCAAAACAGTGCAGGTTCACATGACACATAAAAATCGATTAGATGAGAATTTTCGTACGTAACCTTTCTTTTACCTTCATATTTTGCCATTCCTTTTGGAAATCCCTAGAATTTGAAATGGACGGTTTAGACTCATTCAAGAAGTATCGAAAGGGAGCTCTAACTTGAACATTGTACTTCTTACAGAATGGCACCCAAAGCTTGGCAAATTTAGATGCTGCAACGAGAGAGTACAAGATAATAGGTGAGCAGCCATCATCCGAGACATAGCAAGCCACTTTGTTAGCTGGATAATCAACTGCTAACACAGATAGTACTGTGTTCACTGTGAGCATAGGTGGCTCTAGCACAGGATCAGCCGTTGTTACAAACACGTCTACAGGTGGAAGTTCCGGCACCCTGTTGAGTTGAAACTAATATAAGAACGATATTAAAAATGAAATATATGTTGTGATTAATGAAGTTTATTTGTTACTGTTGCTGGAGGCGTTCGGGAAATGTCTTGTATAACATAGGAGTCCATCTGGTGCAAACAATGAGAACCCAATTGAAAGTGAACCATAACTCGCATAAGAAAGCGAGAAACCAAGCAAGTCCATGATTGTTGAAAGATAGGAGACGAAAGATTAAGAGACAAAAGAGAAGGAACAAGATAGTGACATCTACAGCTCTTTGGTATGTGTTTTTAGGAAAAACCTTTTCAAATAGAGGCACAGAAATTATTGGATTAGCCATGACGAAGAAATGAAGTGTTTGTTTTGGCGGCCGAGTGACCTTGTTAATGGCTGTAGAAGTTTATATAGACGTAGTATCAAGTATTGTGATTATTGATTTATAGGGAACGAGTTATTGTTAACTTCTTACTTGAATGACTGGCCATTTTATTACATGGAAATACACAAGCCGGCCGGTATTATTACCGTCCGTGTTATTAGATCCAGGTCTTCAAAATGACCGTTTGGGCAGATCCAGGTCTTCAAATAATTATTAAAAAGACGGAAAATTGGACCCTATCTTTTCCTGGTAAGTTAAAAAAAAAAAAGTGGACTCTATCAAATGTCGACATAAGTGGTGACGAAAGATCATCCACTGTGGGGACTGACGGCCTTCATTATTGAACCATATATCATATATGAATATCCTTGATGTCATGGTCTTTGTCTGCGTAATAATCTCTTCTTCACACGCAGTTGCAATGAATTGTCAATACAAACTGCGTAATAAGGCTTTTATATATATATATATAGTAGTGACAGCCCCATTTGATATAAAAATTAAGAAAATAATAATGATAATAACTACTTGTGTAGAATTAATTAATTGAAAGACTTATATAGTATATATAATACTAATAATTTATTAAGACCCTTATACCCGCTTCAATGAGGGGAAAAATGACATACAAGGCCAACTAACGCTATTTGTAGTACTACGAGGATTATATTTTATTAATCAAATAATTTCTGCCCTAACACATTCACAGAGCAATTCTTTGGCTTTAATTACTGATTTAAAAGTTATAAAGCAATTGATATTCCACCAATCATATCCTTATCAAGAGTCTGTTAACTTTTGACCAACCGAATGAAAAACCCAAGAGTCCACCAATTTCAAGCCCTACAACATCATAGCGCTGATTCATATGTTAGGAGATCACATAGCGAAAAACATACTTTCGAGATAAATAACATAAGAATAAAATCATATCACGTAAAAAGACACGATATTTACGTGGTTCGGCATAACCTGCCTATATCCACAGATGAGAAAAACCCACTATAGTTTCTGTTAGGGCAAAAAAATGTCATTGGCCCAAAGATGAAGACACTTTCAACAAAGCTCGGAGCCATGGCCCAATTCTGATCGGGCTCGCAACAGAGTTTACATATTAGGTCCGCTCAGCACACATACCCTGTTGCTCACTACTTGAGCCTAATCAGCAAAGACCCTGATTCGTTTATGCCTCATCATCTGCTTGTTTGGGCTCAGGCCCTTTGATCCAAGATCACCTATTAGACCTAGGGTTTACTTAGACCCCAAGGTTGCCTACTTCTTATTTCGGTATCTCTTCAAACTCCCGATTCGTTTAGGCCTCATCATCTGCTTGTTTAGGCTCAGGCCCTTTGATCCAAGATCACCTATTAGACCTAGGGTTTACTTAGACCCCAAGGTTGCCTACTTCTTATTTCGGTATCTCTTCGGATTCTATCGAAGAGATCCATTACTATCCTAATTCGTCTAAGATTCGTATCTTAGACCAATTAGGACTCCCTCTCCTACTAAGGTAAAGGAATCAAAAGCCTTCGTATTCACTAAAACTCAACCTCCAAAGGACTCACAGTCCTACTAGGACTCGAAGATCCTATAGTTTCTATTTAAACAAAGGCCAACCCTCTCACAGGGGAGGACATTACACCTTCTAACCCCGTAGTTCTCACTCTTGAGAACCTCGCATCACAGCCGTAGTTGTAGTCTCCTACTAGACTTTTGGTAACCTTCTCTTTCCCTAACCCTCACTAGATTAGCCTCATTTAGCCTTGCTGACTTGAGCGTCGCAGTGCCTTAAACTCACGGGATCAGATCCTATTTCTGTAGCGGTATATTTTTTGCATCCACAGTTTGGTGCCCATCGTGGAGCTTCTGGCAATCATTTGTCTTTCAAACCCTACTTCACAAGGAAACTCTCTATGGCTGAAAATTCAGATAACACCAATCCTAGTCTTGAGGCCAGACTCAAAGCTCTGACTGCCCTTATGCAACATCACTCAGACAACGTGGCGGCACTAGAAGCCGAGAACGCAGCCATCTGGACCAAAAATGCCTTCATCCGGGCCAAAAACCAGTCCCTAAAAGAAAATGTGAGTCAATTTTATGACCCTGAGCTTCAGCCTTGTCAGGTACAACCCAATCATACTTGCACATCAGTTCTGTCCATGTAGCCTCTCCAGACTCTAGATCACAGACTAACCACCTCGGATACTAGATCGCGTCAACTCTATTCAATGCTAGTGGATGATTCAGCCCAGAATCCAATTGAGCGAGGACTGCCAACAAAGCTACTTTCGGTCGACCCACACCAGACATGAGATCAAGACATCCAAATAACAGAAAGCCCATTGCGACAAGAGCCACCCATCATTGCCATCCCGCCTCATCTCCAATAAATCATTCCTACCCAAACCCCACTCGGCTCGACTTATCCCAGCGGGTCAAGCGGGCTCTCTCACCTTCAATCCACCCCGCTCGAGTCCATCCATCCCCATGGACTGAGTGACTCCCAAATAACCCCTCCACCATCCATCCAGGCCTAAACACCCGATCAGTCATAGTGGGAACCACCCATCCCGAGGGAATGAATGGAGATCCAAATTGTCAAGCGACACATGATGGAACGATTCGCCAAACTACCCCACGTGACTTGACACAATGAAACATGCCGAGTACAAGTCATATGACGAACGAAGCCAACCAAGTTGAACTGGTGGCCTCCGCCTTGCCCATGGAGCAAATATTGGTCAAAAGATTAACCGACATAGAGACAATGATGAGGCATATATCTGGAGTGTCAATCCCAACCAAAAAGAGTCAACCTCACAGCTATGCCGATTCACCCTTTGTGCATGCAATTGCACTAGCCGAGATGCCACACAAATTCACCATCCCTAGCAAGAAGCCTTACGATGGCACAACCGACCCGGATGACCACATAGCCTCATACAAGCAAACGTTGAGGGAGCCTACATGTGTAAAAGCTTCGGCTCCAGCCTCTCTGGACCAGCCCTTCAATGGGACACTAACCTTCCAAACAACTTAATCAGCTTATTTACCCAACTCACTGACACCTTCGTTGAACAATTCACCAACAGTAAGAAACTCGAGAAACTATCAGCAGACCTATACAGAGTCTACCAGAAGATGGGGGAGTCGCTAAAAGAGTACGTCAGCAGATTCAATAAAGAAAAAATCTCCATCCCATCCTGTAATCTAGAGACAGCGGTAGATGCTTTCAGAAAGGGGCTCCTCCCAGATGGAGAACTATACAAAGACTTGACAAAATTTGGCTGCACCACAATGGGAGACGCCCTAGCCAGAGCAGTGATCCATATCAGATGGGAAGAAGACAAGGCGAATCGAATGACGCATGCTAGATATGATAAATGTCACCAAAGGTGGAGTGAAAGAAGGCCAGAGTCCAGATCGTTTGAGCCCCGTTATCAACCCCTTCCCCGCAATCCAAGCAGAATAAAAAAATCGTATGATCGCCAGCCGATTAGAGCCACAAATAGGTTATCCGAATAAAAACAATTTAAGATTCCAGAGTACAACCTCAACGTTGAACCAGCTCAGGTCATGACAATCATGATAGGGATGGGACCTACCGTAAAGTAGCCAGCCAAGCTCAATCTTGACGCAAAGAGGGACACGACCAAGTGGTGTCCATTTCACGGCTATCATGGTCATAATACCGTTGATTGCATCGTCCTAAGATTGGAAGTTGCAACATTATTGAAGAGGGGACATCTCCGATACTTCTTGATACATAAAAGGAAGAATACAGTTGGCCAGAGAAGCTCGAAAGAAATATCTCTCCCTCCACGGGAATCGACACTGAAGGGGTTTTGCTCTATTATCTTTAGAGGATTGGAAATTGACAGAGTGAGTTATTCCTTCGCTAAGCTCTATGCTCGAGCCAGCCATCACCTAGAAGTCTGGTCCATCCATCCATCCCCTCGGACGCATACCAACTAGATCATTCAATTTGAAGATGATGAGCCAATCACCTTAGCTGCCCCTCATCACGATGCTTTAGTCATCTCCCTCTAGATCGCCAACATCCTGATCAAGAGAGTATTCGTAGATGGGGGATCCTCGGCAAACATCCTTTTCCTTAAAGTAGTGAAAGCCATGGGATTGGATGAATCAAACATCAGCAGACGACCAACCATCCTGGTCAGGTTCAGTTCTGAGCAGAAGTTCACTATTGGTGAAATCGTCTTGCTTGTCTATGCCAGCGAAATCAACAAGCAAGCCATCTCCCTAGTGCTTGATTGCCCCTCACCATACAACGTCATCTTAGGTCGACCTTGGATCCATGACATGCGAGCTGTCCCATTCACCTTTTATCAAACTATCAGGTTTCTGACAAAATGGGGAGTAAGAGAAATCAAGGGCAATCTTAAAGCCTCCAGAGACTGCTACAAGAACGTCTTCAAAGGCAAAGGTCATGCTTCATAACAACTACATTCCCATCCAACCCTTTTGACCGAGCCAGATCAACCATCCATGGAAGACTTGGATGAAATACAAATACATTCGAACCACCCCGATCGAAAGACCTAGATAGGCTTTTGCCTTAAGCCCGAGATAAGAGAACGAGTTATAGACTTCCTCAAATAAAATCAGGACTGCTTCGCCTGGTCCTACGCAGACATGACGGGCGTAAGCCCTGAGGCAATCGTCCATCACCTTCATGTACATCCGGATCACCCTCTAGTGAAGCAAAGGCGAAGGAAGTTCGCACCAGAACGCAACTAGGTCATCAATGAAGAAATTGACAAGCTATTGAGTAACTGATTGATCAAAGAAGTCCATTATCCTGACTGGCTAGCAAACGTGGTGGTCGTGAAGAAAAAAAACAAAAAAAGGTCTGCATAGACTTTATAGATCTGAACAAGGCATGTCCCAAGGATTCCTTCCCACTCCCACATATCGACATGATGGTCGATGCAACAGCA